CCCTTCATTTTCAAATACTATTTTGCAAATGTTTATCTGTGATTAAATACAATGTGGTAAGATTCACCCTTAGTTCATTTTGTGCATATTTATATTTATAAATATATACAGGATATGCACTTTTAAACGACATCAATATACACGTCACCAACTTTTGGTGATAATAATTAATATACGAGCCTATATGTTCTTGAAATCATTAATACCTTATCTCACTGAAAATCCAAAATATATATGCACCAAAAGAATACGACAATCGGAGGAAACGAACTAGCGCCAGGGGCAACTCATGTACCAATCCGATTTCTGAAACGTTATCGTAATCATGATTTTTAACCTTTGAAGCGGGGGAGTCGTCACCTGCGCATGCGTCAGATGGTCATAACGTGTCATTGTTTACAAACAAGCGTCTACCCACGAGCCTTTGCGTTCTTAGCGTGTGTTGTTATCATCGCTTGGGACTCAATTCCCGCGCGTGCGCAGGTGAGGACCCTCCCGATTTAATAAAAAAGTTGTGCTATTTGTCAATAACTGTATCAAAGGAAGCAAATGAACCAAATTGTTATTGCGGGTAGTTAATTTACATAAAATTTAATACAAACAATGAATATTTACCAAAAATATGGATAGGCAGAGTTGTCTGAAACACAATTAATTTTGTTTACTAATTTAGTTATTATCATCGCATGTTTGCGTTGTTCATATCGACGCCGTTTGATGTTCCGTGCCTTGTCATATAAACAGTGACGTAAAGTTTATCATACTGTATTTAATCATGGATATTGACAGTAACTATCCAAAGACACACTGTGATAGACTAACAATGTATAACACCATATTATGCTCTGCCAGCAAAACAAGAACTATTATTCATCAGTTTATAAAATGTTTTCCTATTTGCAAAATGTGCGTCATATTTACATCTCTTTCCTTTCCTTTCCTTTCCTTTCCTTTCCATCGGACGTGAAAACAATGTAGCGTGACTGTAGTAGAATCACGTTCCTGAACGCAAATGATCCCGGGCACGACAAATCTTCCTTTGCAAAACAGGATGTTATATCTCATTAAATTGTGACTGGAAAAAGGAAAAGATGTATAGTAATAATAATAATAAGGTTATATGGCGAAAACCGGAATTTACGACCATTGCTCTTACGTTTAGCACAAAAGTCACAAAAAGAGAGGTGAATTCAGAGCTTGTCAGCGTATAAACCATACTCAGTACCGGATTACCAGGAATGCACTGCCCTCTACGGTAAAACCATCTAGAAAACCACAATTTGTCTTAAATATATTGCCGTGACAGACAACGTCATCTCTTAATGTTTCAGTACGATGCATGCCAACACATATATAAACATATAAGTAATTTATCGAACCTTATTTGAAAATTAAGCAATACTCAGTTCTTTAAATTTAAATATTTACACTGTATTACTAATGTCACCCGGAATACTCGTATCGACTGCCTTTTGATTACAATAAAGTCTATGAGTTGTGCAAATATACTATCCTCGGGGGCGGACATCCGGGCATTTTCACCGCCTGGCAACCTGCGGCGGTGAAAACAAAGGCCCAAAACTCGCAGAAAACGGTACTTCGGGATGATTGTTGAGACTCCTCTGGACAGTATAACAAGATTAGCCCTACGTGTGTAACATATATAAATTTGGTTGTTCGGGATTACTTCAAAGTTGAGTTTGTGTTGTTTTCTCAAATTTTCACCGGTTCGACCGGCGTTCCACAGCAGCGCGCACAGAGCCCATAGAAATGCATGTACAGTGGTGCGCAGGAATTCAGCATAATAGAGGTGAGAATTCAGTAGTGTCTGAACTACACTGGCGTTGTATATATGGGCATTGTAGATAGATATACTTGTTTGTACATGTATATGCATTTCACACTGGGGAAGCTACTGTAGTGTAAATGTGTCAAATTTGCATAAAATAAACGTACCACTTTATTCTTTCAGGTAGAACGGTCTGAGACTAATGGTGTGGTGACAAGTTTTGAGCGCAACTGCGCTGGTGAGTGTTTCTGGGGCTGCAAATTTAACGGTTTTGGAGTAACGACGAAGAAATGTACATCATGTTGTACTCATGATGGCTGCAATACAGGAAATGACGCAACGAAGACGTCATTTCAAACAATAACGATCTTTGTCCAAATCAGCTGTTTGGCTGTAATGGCAAGTTTGTCCACGTGAGACGACGCACGTTTTCCAAGACAATGACATTGATTGTTGAAATGAAAGAAATTTGACGGCGGATTGACAAAAATTATAATATCGTAAATGAGACAATTCGAAATAAAATATTTCGTATATCCTCATATATACACCAATATCCAACCACGCCCTCAGTGCGCCATACTTGATACATTACATTAACGTTTAATGTCCGACAAGGGTAATTATAGTACAATCACATATTTGGGGATTTCAGAAGAACTGGACATTCATCGCTTTATTTTATAGTAGTATTATATAGTTGTTAAGATGGAGAGAACAGCAGAGGATATATATGTTATATTTTGAGTTCGGGCCGGGACCGAAAGTATAAACAAATAATTTAATCGTATCAGTGTAAACGTAACTATAACCAAAACGATATTCTTTGTCTTTAAATGTATCCTTTAAAAGCAACAATGTCCCCCATTGTTGTGAAAGAGGAAAACTACTTTTCAAATTTAACCTTGCTGATTCGTTTTGTTATCAAACAATGGGATACTTCGAATATTAGTGTTATGTAAGACAATATAATAAACGAGACACATGATATTTATTTGTAACTTAAAGGTTTCACTGAAGTAGATCTTTATTGAATAAATTCATATTGTTAAAATGTTGTTTGTATTTACACTGATAACGTCATGGTTTGTTTAGTGGTATGCAATATAATTTCAAACAGTACATCGGCGTGCCTAGTGTGGCAGAATGTACAAACAGATTGAGAAGGGTATTCTTGCGAAACGTACGTATCCCGAGCGGTTGTTCACCGTGTTTAATTCATTATTTCTACAATTGTAAGTGTGAAGACAAAAGAAGTTGTTATTTCGACCAGAAGATGGCGCACGTGCTGTGCGTACGATAACTCATTAATCATTCAAATATGCATTGAAAAGAATAAGTTTTGGGGTTGAAAGGATTTTGTCTTTTTACCACACAAACATATATCACATGTATCGTTTGGCGCCACAGCAGAAAACGTAATTTGGTAATTTGATATAAAGAATATATATCGTATCTGTATTGTCTCTTACACTTTATCTGTGGACTTGAATGAAGTAAATTGTCTTTTACAAAATGCGTCGTTCACTTTATTCGGTAGATGAAAATATGTCGGAAGTTACCGAGCATATACCAAGTATATTAGTCATCAATACACGAACACCAGTTGAATCTTTCATTTTTAATACACCGTGACAAGCCATTCACAGAATGAGGACTGTTACGTACGTGTAATAGCATACTTCGAAACAGCGCCACATGCCAAGATTTGATGTTGTCTTGATAAAATAGTAATCAGTACATTTTAGATCACTTACTAATTCCGTGAATATAATATTGTTCCCAGTATTACATAAAGGCATTACATTTAAAATGAAAATAACATACTCAACCGTAGATCATTAAACACCCATTCGGCGCATCGGTAGTACTTTGGGCGTAAAACAAGCCAATATCGCCGTGGATTGAACGGCTAACACGGGCTGATGGATAATCTAGTGTAGATTCTGCCTTCGATAGGGATTTTGCCAATATGACACTGCGGGGATGGGGACATTATTGTTATTAGAAATATAATATGCAAAATAATAACAAAAATAATAATATAATATAATATGAAATGATATTATTATATGAAATGCAGTATACAACATCACATACACAAGCTCTGACAGGAAGTATACTAGTATTCATTCCGTGTGTACGTTGAATGGAGAGCGCCCCCATCGGTGTGAACTTGTACATTACAAACTGCTTGCCCTCAGCGAACTCAATCGGATTTAAATATGAAGTAAGTATGGACTTTATATCATAAATAATGACGGCTTAATAACACTGATAGTTCTGCGACCGTCCTCGTGTACAGTGCCTGGATGGCAATAACCAGTCGTTCGCACACGAAGATAGCAAACGGCGTTGTTCGCTGTTGTTACTTCTAGTATTAAAAATAAAACAACTTTTGAGGCAATGTTATCGCAGCAGATCGCCAGCCCATGTTTATCAGCTAGCGACCTTTGTTATCACATATTCACATGTTTGTTAGCAAAATTGTACACATATGACGTCACAGTGCTATGACACATTGCATTTGCATTGGATTGTCCGTGGTAACGCCAAAAATCAAATTGCATAGAAAGTTAACAATTATGTAATATTTTGCGTGATACTTTATGTTACACACTTGAAGGTAATAAATAATTAGGACACCGTACAACATCGTAAGCAAAATTTTTCATATCATATCATGGCATTTTAATAACACAACATTGTGCATGGTGACTGGACCGGAGAGTCACGTGTCGAAATTTACAACATTCCATCTTTAACCCGGTGGGGTACTCACATTGAAGTGCTATATGTTTATGTGCCGCCTTCTGTCTGAAAAGGGGTATGTTATTTTACCCTGTCTGTCTGAAAAGGGGTATGCTTTTTTCATTATTTCTGTCTGAAAATGGGTCCATATTTCCCAAAGACTGTCCCTTGAGCTTGAGTGATCCAACAATTAGGAGAATGTAGCTGATTTTTTTTTTCTGTAACTTCATTTTGATCGTCAAAGTCCATCCCCGGGAGTCCACCTGCTTTCCCTTGGTGCCATTAATGCTTACTGTCTGGAAAGGGGTGTCAAATTAAGTTTATTTCTGTCTGATAAGGGGTAGGGGTTTCAAACAACCAGCTACACACCCCTGTCAGTATTTTTTGTGCAAATAACCCCCCCCCCCCGGATATTTAACATACTCGTGAATGATATGCGGCGGATTCAGCCACCAGGGCACTAAAATGACCGATATGATAAATTCCTCATGTGACTCTGGCTGTCCATTCTTTTATATCCCATCAAATCCATAAGTTCAAGACACGGGGACAAATGCTGTACAATGTTAACATCATCGTATATGAGTCTGCTGCGCCAAGATTGCGCTGCGGCAGTTGAATTCTTTTTTGTACCCATCACTGACTTAACATTGTGATCTTCCTTCGTGTTATTATCGATCCAGTCAGTGACATTCTCGGGTAAGGGCAGATTGAGAAATTTATATATACTTTTTACCGAGTTAATTGGATCTGTTGCTGTGTCCTCGTAACGGAGAATCTTATACCGGCCTTCTAACCACTCTGGCGGATCAGAGACAACCCTTAACATTTCTACCATGCGTTGACAATACGCTTTCAAATCTGCTCTCAAATGTCCCATAGTATTGATGGACCTGTTGTTAGCGTTCTTGTACATATACTTTCTGGAACTAACAACCCCACGTGGATCACGAACGAGATGTAGAACTTTCAAATTCGTGTCATATCTTACCAAAGGTTCTAACAATTGCAGAGATTCCAGGCGTATGACTTTAACCCCGATATGTTCATACATTGTACAGCTTTCCGACAATTTCTCGGGTGTGGTGTTTTTGCAACCTCCATACTGATTGCAAACACCTTTTAGAGAGTTGCTCTCATGTGCAGCTAACCCCCATCTTCGAATATGGTGAACAAAATACGCGGGGAATCGACAGTTGAAAATGTTTTCTATCAGTTCAAATTTGGTCGAATTTTCCAAGCTTTTGTCAATGTCTCCGTTTTTTATCATATCTGAAACAACTCTGAATGGTTCAAACAAATAAAACATTCTTGGATCCTGGTTCAATAGTTGTCCAGTAAAAGTTGAACCCGTGCGAAAGGCTGCGACAAGTACGACTCGAAGACGGCTCTGTGTGTGCCCAGAATCTGGTTTCGTTATCGTCACGGTCACCTGCGTTCTAGTCGGAATGGAGTGCTGAACATTGTTAACATTGCTAATATGGTAACCATGGTACAATATGATGTTGAGAGAAACATAAGAGCAGTGCAAATAACAATCACAATGTTCTTCATCCTTGCTGATATCTGAAACTAAAAAAAATAATTATTATCAGTAAATTAAAAAATAATATATTTTTTTAAGATATATAAAACTCAATATGGCTTATATTTTAGCTCGTCTGCCATCATGACAAACGTTACATCTAATTGAACCAATCTATATTTGGACATTGTGCTACGACTGATCGGAGTGTGTAATAAATTTTGACTCGCTTGGCGAATGAACTTTACCCTCTAAAGATACCAAGGATGCGTCTCATAGGTTAAATCTTTGCGAAATTGTCACCAGTGAACAAAAGTAATCTATGTATTTATACAATTCCTGTAATACATGTCTTTAATGTCTACTTAATCATGCAAGTTGTTGATTCTAAATAATACTGCAACGTCATATGAACCAAACGTGGTGCATACCGGATGTCACTATGGTAACACACCCCCCGTCCGGACTGTCTCTTATTACATTAAGTCCCACTAAATACTAATATACGGACACAGCGACTAACGGACGGACACAGATCTCAAACGTATCCGATTATTTTGTCATAAACAAAGATAGCACGTAAAAATCCGAATACAGAATGTGTGCGGGAGTTACGGTACAAACCTGCCCGGTTATCCACCATGTGCTAAAACTTTGACTGGCTTGGCGGATGACTCTTACCATGTAGAGATACCAGGTTCTACCCAAAAACACATTAGTTCATTACAGATAGTCCAGATTTATTAATCCAAACGGCCAGCTGAGGTAACACCTTTCTACCCACTACCCACAAATCTTACAAACTCCAAGGCGTGGCGACCATGCGACCAGCCAATGGCTGCAGCCGTTGGCATGATCAGGTGATTACCAGGGATGTGTTTCAATGGTCTATAGCGTGCCACTGTACGGCGGTATTCAACACACCCTCGCACCCTCGAAGTTAGTACACATGTCACAATGTTGACATGATGTAGTTTTCAATCATGTATGATAATATTGAATATTACATTTAATAAATAATACAAATAATTGCAACTGTTGCTAGCAGTGAAAATCCATAATTATAATTTACACACATGCTTTTCCCAACGCCGAGTACCAGGCAAAGTATTAATTATTATAGTACAAAGTCTGGTTTCGATTAAAACAAATTTGCTCTCTTTTATTCAACAAAAAATCATTGATTAAACACCAAACATTTGAGACTTTGTGCATTCCAGCAATGTAGTTATACCTCAATGGATTCAGAGTACAGCAACCAATGCATGATTCCGGAAATACATCTCACAAATATTGCAATAAATATATATATATATAGATGTAAAATATACTATATATGTAAAATATATGTAAAACATATGTAAAATATAATTGGAGAAAATTTGATATTTGAACAAAGAATTGTTTGTGTTTGAATAACAAGCTACTGGTATCTTTAATAGATTATTTCCCTTAATCAAATACTGATATGACACAATGTCGAATATTTGTACCAACGCTTGCGGTTGATCTATTCGTTACGTTACAGAATCATTCGAGTGTATATAATGAAATGCACACTTGTCTTTAAGTTTTACACTTCAGCGACAAAGCTCTTCAATGGCGTACATGTTTAACACGAAAGCCGTTCAAAGCGTCGATATCGTTTTCATCTTTTGTGCTCCATCAATATAGATACATTGTATTGAGGGAGTCTACAGTATTCTGTATGGCGATAATTAAACATATGCACAAAGTTGTCAACTTGAACGTCAATGTTTTCAACCGTAGTATGCGTTATTTTGACGTCACAGTAGCGCTCCGTCACTAGAGGGCGCGTGTATGTACCGGGGAATACATCTAAAATTACCTATTTATATATTATACATTAATACACAGGCCTGTTTGGCTTTATAGTTATAAGCGTGTTTATTGTATTAGTAAACATTTTAAAAGCAAATATGTCTTCACTGAGAACAAACCAGGAGCGCGTCCAGCTCGATATGGGACTCATAGCGACGTAGAAAACGCGTGTAAAATACACTGTTTACATTAAATACATACCAATGAAATGAAATACCCTACTACACACGTGCATCGACATTATAGCATCCGACAGGAACTGCAAATGTGAGTCTTATTATACTATTAATCACATTGAGTAGTTTTGCTACAAACATCTGATATCTTGCATGATGAAAAATATTTTAGAATAATTGAAATGTAATTTATATAACGAAACATAACGGCTTGAAGAAAGCCTGGGGTCGATGATTTTAGCAGACTTGTGCTTCTACAACAATAATATTTAATTTTTCACTTGGTATTGCAGGCCTGAAATCCACGTAGTATAAGTAAATATAAACTCACGTGATATTGAACCCAAAATAAATGTGTTTCATACACAATGAGATTATCAAGCAGGAGGCAAAAATGTCATCAATGTCATGACTGTATTGTGATATGTCGACAGTAAAACTGTATGACTCATCCAGTTCTGTCGTCACAGTGGTTAGCATGATTGATGGCATTAATCTCAAGTTAACGTGATTATTGCCCTTTGTTCAATTCGTTAACCATGCACGTAATATGAATGTTTGGAATTCATCACAAAATCACAATGCAATAATATTGAATAAAAACTTGTAGAATAATATACGAATAACCGCCACATTGGTATTGTTTTCAATATTAATTAAAGGTATCATAGATAGTAGCCCTACCTTGATGGTAAATGTTTAACAGGTTTCAACCTCGTGCAACATCAATGCACACACGAGCATCTATGTGTACAAGCGGCAGGTGCTGACTACATGGGCGCAATAAATTAGCTGACACAATTGAACGCATTATGTAAATACATGGCAAATATAGAATGAGTCATTTCCAATGGGAATTCATCAATATATTAATGGTGCGTTGTTGAATTATTTCACCGGGTCGTTAGTGATGCCATACATGCATACGTCTGGACCATAAATATCAGCAAAATGTGTTGTACATTGAGAAATAATCGCATTCATTGAATAATAATGCATAAATATAGTAAATTACACAATTATGCATTCATGATAGTCGCAGAGAAGCAACGAGAATGAGACTTTGCGGCTAAAACAGGAAACATTTTCGCTTACTCGAGATAAAATGCACTAAAAGAACAGGTTTTTCATTTAAAATCGTTTTTTTATAATATTTGCAATATACTACTTAATGTAGAGTGTATGTTGGCAGAATAACCGGACGCATCAGAGAAACCACGTTCTAAGACCTCAGTAAAACAGTTACATATAGGTTTGGGTTTAATCAACTATGTTTTACAGAGATTTTAAGGTACACATAACAATTCCTCCAATCATGAATCCGTACATGGCGTTCTCCTCTTCTGTGGACAGCATGGAGTACTTTTCCACAACACAAGAATATTTATAATACACAGATAAACACACAGCAGAAGGTATACATATCCTCCATCCAATTTAATTACTCTGGTAGTAGTCAGTATTACGACTATTGGTTGAATGATACAATCAAAACTGGATCACGAAAAGGAAAGCCTAAAAGCGCCATATTAAAAAAAATCGATAAAATTTCTGTAAACAAACAGAATATTGTAGCATACCTATCATATGACCCCTATCGAACATGACCTCACGTGATAACCATGGTGCTTTAAAGACGAGAAACCGGCAGCTAAATCGGACGTAGTTAATCTTACATGCTCAATCTGGAATATAACAGTTGGCCCAAGTACAATAACAATCTTTTAAGCACCATAGTTTCAGACAACCCATATTCTCACCTTCATTCAAATGCAGCACTACCTCAACACATGCAATATGTTCAAGCATTTAGACTTTTCCATTCATTATATGGTTTATTCGAATATACTAATACAACACACTGGCACACAGAGCATGCTGCGTTATCCAGGGGCCATGACCACTAAGATCGATTATCAAAAGGCGGGAAAATACGCCAAGTAACTTCTCGAACAGGATCAGCATAAATAAACACATTCATGGACACTTCATTATTTGTAATGTAGGCAACTCACTGTATGTATAAATTAATGAAAGATATGAACAATATAGAAAAGAAGGAAGTGGGAAAAGTAGACCTATATTTGTGTCAGAAGAAAGGGGGAAGTATTTTGGTCTTTAGTTACAAATACAATAGTGACAATAACAATCGAAATGTGCATATAAAAAACCCAGTTCATGAAAGAAATACAATTACAACCAACATACACATAAAATACATATTAAAAAAACACTTCACTTATCAAATAGGTAACATTTCAGCCAATGTTCGTGAAATGAGTTTAACCATGGTGATCTATGTCCCAGAGTTGGGACATTCCTAGTTTATTGGGAATGAACCCAAAGGTTAAGGTATCTGCGGGACTTGTTGAGACATAGCGTAATTCCTGTTTGAAAAAAATGATCTCTGTGGCATGGTTTCGTGTGAATGTATCACGGGTTTTGCAGCCGTGTAAGAACATAAGAGTGATTTGGCTATCAGACCAAAGAATGTAACGGAATATGTTGTATTTGCCTTGGAGAGATTGAGTTAACAAATGACCGAGTCGAGTGTCTATCACTGCCCACATTAATTCCAGATGAGGAAATGTATGAGTTTGCTTACTGATTCGCGATACACGGTGTCACACGCAACGTAATATTACCGTAATTGGTATAGTACAGGTGTGATGGTTCAAATACCAAAATGGCAACAGTAACAGAAAGACTTCCCTGACGGCGATGATAAAATATGAACACGGAGCCAACAGATGAGGTTTCAACTGGTACTGGTATTATTATACTCTGCAAACATCAAGTACAATAACGCGGTAAAACTCCACTACTCCAATGACTAGATACTTAAACTCCAATACAATTCAACGAGATCTCCGATCTGAACTCAGTGCTGAACAACTCCCCTATATATACCCACACTGTCTATAAATAGACCATTACATCAGCATACATAATGAGTCTGGAATTTACTATAAATTTCTAGAATGTTCCATTATCTTCTATTGCCTCCTACAGTGTTCTATTACCTATTCAACCAGTTTCTAAAAAAAAAAGAATATTTCACCCAGACACAGTAGGTTCTAGAACATTCTCAGTGACACGGAAGTGGTAAATAAGTCGTATGCGACACACGGGATGGCCATGATAATTGCGGATTCTGTGTTCGTGGCTAGATATATCTAGCTGCTATATATCACGCAACTGTAGACCCTTTTAGAAGTGTTGGAGAAGGCATGTAATTCAATGCTTCTAGGGTGTTTGTGAAATATTGTCTAGAAATATTAATGATAGTAACTTCATAGTGTGCGATTTGCGTCCAATTGTGTAATAATTCACTGGTTATGAGCATATACCAATTGTGATTGGACAACCAAAGCATTTGTATCATCAATTTTGCGTATTTGGATCGGAGAGTACAGTGACGGTCTTAACGAATCATACACGCTTGTCAAGTACCCAATTCACACTATTGTGGTATAGGAGCAAAAATTGTGAGTTTTGATTGGTTTTATTCGTGTGTCATCATCTGAATTCCATCAGAGCCCAAGTTGTTCATTATAGTGCATAAGAAAGAATCGTTCATATTCCAAAATCGTAGATTTAATGTAGCAAGCATGGCAGTCGGTTGTTCCTAAAAAAATTTATATATTTGGTAATATTATTGCATTCTTAAGTTGTATACAACTACACACATATATACCAATGTAATGTGGTCCAGTACGAATCTACACAGTTAAGACTGCCCTCTAATCTAATTACAGGTAAATGTACAAACATGAATTACAAATCTCAAATTACCGTACTAATGAGCACAGTAGCAGAATGACGAGTTAGAAATGCACGAAGTCGAATATCGAACATGTTTGATTTAACTAGACGAATGAATCAAGCTTAGGCGTTGTCATTTGGCATAGGGACGCATGTGACTGGGTAATTTTCAGGGACAGGGGAGATCACATGTAGTTTAGTGATTGATTTTCAGTACGAGACCAATATGATATAATATGGTTTTGCTTCTTCTTAATTTATATACTCTGATTGCATACAACATTATTCAATAGATTACGTTATGAAATACTACATATTGAAAAGCCACACAACAATCTATCATACTGGATTGAGGGATATAAAGAAAAACAAAAGAACGCTAGAGCATTTGCTATATTTTAATATCATACTCTTGTGGAAGACATGTGACATTGGTATCAAAATATGCCTCATCTAATTAAAATTATCTTAAAATTCAAGCTTGATATGTGCTGTTTATTTCAGAATATTCAATATTTGATTTGACATGATTTGATGTGAAACAGTTTTCATGAAAATGGAATGCATGATTGTACACTACCATATGTAGTAGCTAATACAAAAGTAATAATTTTGAAATTGTCTGGACATCTTAAATCCAGATTTAATGGACAAATAAGCAGTTACCCAGGCTAGATCGTACATATATCTATGTGCTTATGTTTTTTGAACAACAAACAAATGCATGTATATAGCCCATCTATTACAATAATTAATGATTAGCATCAGGAAACAACACCAATACCTGGCAGTTGTCTCATTGTAACAATGAAATGGATATTGCCTCAAAATACAGTTTAAAAAAACTAAATGGTCCTCCATCGCCAAGTAATCAAATTTCATATACATATCACATTTTGAACAGTGTCAGGGTAATGAAATCTCCTCCAATTACCAAGTGATAAAATTACATCTAATCTTTCAATTTTTAATCAAACTCTTACTCTTCAATTTTGGACCAAGTGTCCAAAATCAAAAAGTATCATCAAAATAATCAAATTGCAACAGGTTACGATTTAAATTTCCTTAAATGCTAACTGGTCAAAATCTACCAAGTCCTTAATATTAAAGATTCTATTTTTTTGACCAAATGTTCAAGATCAAAATTATCTGCTATTCAAATGTGCATTAAATCCTTACTAAACAAATTCCACCAAATGCCATCTGATCAAATTTTACAGCAAATCCCAAATTTTGATCAATTGTCTTAAATTTACACCGAGTCCTTACGAATTCAATTGAACAAATTCCTGCTGTTTTGATCAAATGTTCTAAGATCAATTTTACACCAAATGGAATATGGCTCCTGCCAAACCTGTAACCCACATTCTCATTTCTGTTGCCCATTTATTGCATCCACATCACACATTGTCATGATTGCATATCATCGCAACACATTAGGGATTGACGGTATTTTTGTATTTATACTACTGAGGGTAGTTTTTATTTCTTTGCAGACAAGGACAATCATAAATTAAATGTTCGGTTTTCCATGAAGTTTAAATTGCCAAAAATGTGATAAAAATGTGTGATGCGAAAGCAAAAATTGTGATAGCTTGCTTACGGTACTAATCAATTTTACAAATTATTGACATATTTCGTCACACATAGCAGTAGCTGCTTATAAGTACATCCTCATATCTAAGATTTCTTCATTTTCTTTCCACGCGTCTGATCTTTTCCAGACCTGGCACACATTTGCCAGTAATAAAACAGTCCAATCAGACTGAAAGCTGTCACTACTACGATGTACTCAGTGTGATTTGGAAATGCATTCCCACAAATCGTGTACCATTCCATGCCATCCTGGAAAAGATGAGAATTTTTTTTATTTTTACAAATCACAGAGTAGGTACAATTATTAAATAAATTCACAAAATTACATAGTCAAGGGAAGCAATTCATGCATCATATAACTTACCTTGGGTGGTTTTCCACCTGTCAAGCAGTGCCAATCATAGTAAGCTTCATCATATTCAGTTGTACACAAATAAGTTTTCTTTGACAGCACCTGTATGTAAAGACAAGGACCTACATTAATAGATGCATTATGTACAATTATTGTTATGTATATATACTGTCATCATTCACGGTGCGAGAAAATGCCTTCATTTACAACAATAAATTTGCTTACATAAACCTGTGCTATTTTAGATGAGGGGAGAATAGAACAAAAAAATAACAACTCAAACATATTCCGTTTGTACATGACAAAGAGGTTCAAACCAAATTAAAGATTCTATGTCCTATTCTTCATGTTCTCAAGTATCAGCACCCAGAGTAGATGTGTCATTGCTGAGAGCTATTTACAAACACTTTTATTTGTTTTCCATCCAGGTTTTCAATGCTTTAAAAGCAACACAATGATTACAGCTTTACCAGCGGCACATATTACTTTGGTTTTGATATTGTTTTTAGTTTGAGCTGTACAGCACTGGAATATGAATGCAGCTCATTTACATAATTTCCTTGAAAATACTGAAATTATTATTACATGGAAACATTTGTTTGTGCAAAAAAATGATTCTAGAGATCAAATATGCATAATTATAACTACATAAACAAAGCTCAGTTGAGGCAGTTCAACTAAATTCAACTGCCAAGAAAACACAACTTTAGAAGGGACTATATTATCTCAATTGCATATATTTGCAGTCAATACCAATATTATTGAGCAAGGTTGTATGTGATAAATGCAATTCCTTTCTAAATGTGTACTTACTTGTCCCATAGCAGTATATACAGGTGTGGTTGCATTACAATTACCAGTTGGTTCATGTAAACCTATTGATCTAATATTTTCAGGTTTAGAATTAACTGTTAATAATATGTACAACATAAAATGCAGTGATACTAGTAGCCCAATTTCATCCAACCATTTCTTTCCTACTAAAAAAAAACAATGAATACATTATTTGCGTTTTAAAATTTCTTTTTAGACCTGATCACAGGGAGCCCAGGAACTATGATCAACTGTACGCACTCCCTATCAAAGCGAGGGGGAGGGTTATCGGCTGGTATCTTGTGTAAAAAAAAATAGACAAGGGATGAAGGCTCCAGGCCAGCTCATATTTTTTAAACTGGAAAAAACAGACGAACAGAATGACAAATAAAATCTATAAAAAAGTTGCTTTTTCAAATTTCGCCAAAGCCTTACCTATATTTTACCTATATCTGCAGAATAAATCAAGAAAACTACACAAATTGACTCCATTTATGAACAATTAACGGTTGGCTCAAACGCACGGCACAGTTGGGACCTGGGACAAAACATCAGTGGAAGAATACAATTATGATTTTGATAGTTCATATATACTTATCATCTTTAATAGAAGTGCATGTAACTCCAAATTAATTGTATTTGAATTATGAGTGCCGTATTTGATGACAGGTCTATGGCAAAATAATTATTACATCTAGACTCTTCTCTGCATCCAATATGATGCTCCAGGGATTCACTATTGTTGTTTTGAATCACTACCATCAAAATCACAAATTTAGTTAAATATGGGGGAGTTTTGTTGTAATTAATTTACATTTACATTATCATGTGCGAATTAGAGGTTTTTATGCCATCATAGCTTTACATTATCATGTGATAATTAGAAGTTTTTATGCCATCATAGCTTTACATTATCATGTGAGAATTAGAGGTTTTTATGTCATCATAGCTTTACATTATCATGTGAGAATTAGAGGTTTTTATGCCATCATAGCTTTACATTATCATGTGAAAATCAGAGGTTTTTATGCCATCTTAGATTTACATTATCATGTAAGAATTAGACGTTTTTATGCCATCTTAGATTTACATTATCATGTGAGAATTAGAGGTTTTTATGCCATCATAGCTTTGCATTATTATGTGAGAATTAGAGGTTTTTATGCCATCATAGCTTTGCATTATCGTGTGATAATTAGAGGTTTTTATGCCATCATAGCTTTACATTATCATGTGATAATTAGAGGTTTTTATGCCATC